CCTCTCATCCCACTGTTTTTGTTGGGTATATTTTTCATTAACCCAAATCATTCGGATTACTGAGCCATTATGTAAAAAAAGAGAAGAAACATATGCGTTAGAGCTAGGTCTTGGGTCGCTGAATGTTCTTAGTCGCCTGTCAGTTTTGTGCCCTATTATCGCACATTCTTACTGTTTATCATCTTGTTCCTGTCGTGGATAGTTGCTGCATGACTCGTTTCCATGTGTTTCTTCTCTTTTAACACAAATCAGTGCTAACGCCACAGTACAATATCTTAGGCATAACATACTGTGGAGTGCAAGTACTGGGAACCGCCCGAACCAATAAATTTGTTCTACGTCTCCAAACCAGCTGGCTTTCGCCGATGCCTGTCCTTGGAGCAATGAGGCCACAGACATGCATACATTCGTTGGTAACGTTCCACGCTCCTCGTGAAATAGCAGACGTTATTACGTCGTCACGAACGTTGCGCCCGTCTAAGGTGCTCCTGGAAGGCACGGGTGATGCTATCCGAGTAAATTGACAATCCCTTGGATATGCAGACGCACACAATGTTTGTACAACTATGCTAGGTGAAATCCGGACTTCCATGGCCCATGACGCCCTGGAAGTGGTGTGAATGCTGCTAGGCATGCACATGACTGTACAAATACACAGTGATATCATCGCAACTGGTCCAGGGAGTCGTAAAATACCGGTATTTTACGACTCCCTGGAGTAAACTTTATAATTTACTTGGGTCAGAAGTCACCCAGTGCAAATTTACAATGTGTTTGAATGCATGGTAGAGTGTGTTTGAATGCATGGTAGAGTGTGTTTGAATACATGGTAGAGTGTATTTGAATGCATGGTAGAGTGTGTTTGAATGCATGGAAGAGTGTGTGTCTGAGAACATGGTTCATCATTTCTTTTAGCGGCAACATCGATGAGATCTAGTATTGTCGGGGTGTGTGTGTGTGTGATGGAAAATTATGCCGAGATCCGTAGAATATTTGTACGTACTAGTAACTGGAGGAGCTGTGGAATGGATTTCATTTTCATCTCCGTATGTGCTCGATTCAATTACCTTAACTTGTTGCTGTTGGTCAGGTTGTGAATCATTACACATTGGAGATAACAACACGCTAGAGTCGAAATGTGAGTAGATTACCAAGGCACATTTGCTCCTGCCTGTGAGTGTGTGTGTACATATACGTGTGCATGCGCGGCCATCCACGTCTGTGTCCTTGCGCGCGCGCGCGCATGTGTGTGTGTGTGTGTGTGTAGCTGCTGGAGATGGCTCTCTCGAACATGGTTCCTGAGTCCTGACCTCCCTCTCAGTCTGACTGCCGTCGCTCGTCTTTCCATGTTGTCGGCCCCACAAGGGGACACGTGACCGCAATGGCAGTGTTTACCAGGACCGTGTCTGTGTGTGTGTGTGTGTGTGTGTGTGTGTGTGTATGTGTGTGTGTGTGTGCCCATCCGTGTGTACCAGCTAGTTTGGCTGGTGTCTGCACTACACCATATAGTGGCTCAGTGTCTGGGTGTGTTGCCATCATACCCGACTGTTTAGTTAGAATGTGCATTGGTCAAGGTCTGTGTGCTGTGGTGTGTGTGTGTGTGTGTGTCTGTGTGTGTCTGTGTGTCATGTTTATGCTAGGTCATATTGGTGTGAAGTCAGCCATGACCAGTGGTTGTGTTCTGGGAGCATGCTGTCATCTGACCAGTCAAGAGACACTGCCTGAGAATACGGTAGTGTTTGGCGAGGGCAATCTGCGTCGAGTGCAAGGTGATAAGCCCACGGTTAGTTGTGTGTGGGTGTGGGTGGATGTGTGTCGCACATACCCCTTCGTGTCCTCTTGAGCCAGTTCTTATTTGTACTTGCATGCAGGAGATTGAGGTAAAGAAAAACATATTATTGTTTGCTACCTCCTCTCTAGCAGTAATAAATTACTGTTGGTTGTGCCTCTCTTACTCTAGCTGTGCTTAGCTCTAGGGTCACATGATTTGGACAGGGCATTGTATGCCTTGAAAGTGCTTGAAATTTGTATCTGGTCATGTACGATTATTGGGAACTCGTGGCCTGGCACGAGGAAAACATTTTTGCAGTGAATGGGATTTTCGGTCTTTGACCACATGCTGGTGAGCTGATCTACTCACCTCCACTGCTTTAGGAGCTGCGTCTGCGCAAGGGTGGTAGCGTTCTACGGATGCGGAAAACTCGGCCTCTATAATAGATAAACCGAGTCTCACGTGAACCGTGAATTTTTTTAAATGTACGATTGGTCTCGACTTTGAGTTTTCCGCGGTGTATGCTCTGCTCTCCGTTATCCCCAAAGGACGTAGCTATTCAGTGCGCAGAATATATCTCTTTTTCACAATTTTGACACTCTAGCACCACTCACCTTCAGGTTGATGCTCTCTCTCTCTCTCTCTCTCTCTCTCTCTCTCTCTCTCTCTCTCTCTCTCTCTCTCTCTCTCTCTCTCTCTCTCTCTCTCTCTCTGTCTTTCTCTCTTTCTCTCTTTCTCTCTGTCTTTCTCTCTGTCTTTCTCTCTCTCTTCCTCTCTCTCTTCCTCTCTCTCTCTCTCTCTCTCTCTCTCTCTCTCTCTCTCTCTCTCTCTCTCTCTCTCTCTCTCTCTCCCTCGCTCTCTTTCTCCCACCGCGTCCAACTTATAGGCACCCACATTACAGCTGGACTTCCTAACTAAGATATTGCCAAACTACCATCACCTGCAGACGTCGCAGTCGGCAGCCCAGCAGCAGCACCAGCAACATCTTGACCAAAGTTATCCTTGTCGTATCCACCCTATGTAGTCGTCTGATTTTGCTGCAAACCGGCATTTGTTGATTGCGATTCCCCCGATACCAATGACTAGATCAGCGTACTGGTTGCCTTATCAAACCTATCAATTTCCTCTGCATGTTCTGCTGCGGGACATGTTATCGTGTCGCATTCTTTCACCTGCTGATCATATAGCACAGGTATTATTTTAATATTGTACACAGCAGAGTGATGCTGCTGTGCGTGTTCACGCCAGGTCGGTACATTGTGGATATATGCATCAGAGACTGCTATAGGTACCGGTAGCCGTCCACGATATCTCTTCTGAGGCACTTCGCGCCAGTTTTCTGCTTACCCCGGACGCCAGACCTTTCTCACCTATTGCTCGGAAGTGCCCGTTCAAGGCTATAAAGCCTATAATCTCTGTTGCTAGCAAATGCCTGTTCAAGGCTATAATCTCTGTTGCCAGCAAATGCCTGTACAAGGCTATAATCTCTGTTACTAGCAAATGCCTGTACAAGGCTATAATGCCGTCGGCATACCTCAGTCTGACATGCTGAACTGTTCACCTCAACGCTCCACGAGCGTATAGCTCAAGTTTTCCTGCTGCTATGCCATCACCTCCACGGTAGGTAGGTATAATCAGACGTTCACCGGTCAATCATGTATTTGATTGTATAAAGTATTGACTTGTCTTCTTGTTGTGCATGTCGACCTCTTGTTACTGCGGCCTCATGATATTACACTTTTCATATCATGGATGATAATAATCATAAATATTATTGTGTCATGATATCATGGATGGTGTCAATCTGGCAAACAATTGTCGCTGCTGGTAACACTGTAGTTAGAACACACACACACATGATTTGTTTCTTACATGGCTACAATCTTATGTGTTTGTGGCACATTCTGACATCGTTCTTGTATTGTGTGATCCAGAACTTTGCTTTTCTACTTCGAAGTACTCATACTTGGTTGTGTATGCATGTGTGTGTGTGTGTGTCTTGCAAGCTGTTGAACGGTGCGGGGGCGGGGTCATGTGCCTTGTTTCAGAGTGCGTGTTTGGCCGGGGGGGGGGGGGGAGGAGGGCTGGGGGCTTTTTCAGCCTGTCTGTGGGGGGGGGGGGGGGAGGGTGCTGCTGCTTGTCTGCTGGTTTACCTAGACAATCCGGTCAACGATATTTCCGATACCAATACACTACCGTATTTTCCGGAGTATAGTGCGCACTTTAGATGTGCTATTTTGGCCCTAAATTGCAGGTGCGCACTATGCTCCGAATATGAAATGCATGTACTTCACTGAAGATTGAAGTGCGCACCCCCAATGAAGATTGGGGGTGCGCGCTATACAAAGGTGCGCACTATACTCCAACAAATACGGTATTAGAGACTGTGCTGTTATTATTTCAAACCACCCTCACCCCTGGTCATTATTGGAGACCTGGGCTTTTGTTAGGGAAAATACGGCCAAATGCTGTCGCATATCCCATCACTGCTCCGAATTCCAGTAAAATTGTATCCGTGAATGAAACTCGTTCGCACCATGGTGTGGGTCTCTCTGATTCTGTATTGTAATGGTACTTCAGTATGATCATGGTAAACATACTGTAGCAAGGTGTTGATGGGAAAGGAAAGTCCAGCGCAATCACACACAGTTCATTGTTACCCGCTACAGCCAGACCTCGCATAACTGCACACCTACATGTACGTTTTGCACAAAGATATCCGCATAGGCGAGGGAACCGGATAATCAAACACACACATACTGAATGTATGCATGGCATATGCTGCAAATCGGTAACCAACGATTTTCTTCCGGATGGCGAGGGATCCGGATAAAAGAGGACCGGATAAGCGAGGTCAGACCGTATGAGGAAATGTAGGCCAGAGAAGTGGATTGTGTAACGCGGTGATTTTACAATCACCATGACAACCTTTCCAGTAAGCATGGTTTGCATTAAAGCCTGATGCAGAAAGCGGCTTATGTGCTTATAAGCCCGGCTTTTATCCACGACTTTACGGTAAGTAAACTACACACACACATGCCTCCCCCCCCCCCCCCCCCATTCGGTACACTATCGGCACACACACATACACACGAAACCATGCACCCTCCCTTCGGTAAACTATAGGCACACACCCATGCACACAGAGACACATGACCCCCCCCCCCCCCCCCCCCACACGAAACCATGCACCCCCCCCCCCCCTCCCCCTCCCCCTTCCCCCTACACAAGTACACACACACGCAATGAAGTGTGTTACTAATTGGGATAACAACGGGCAACATGCCATGGTCCAAATCACCTGCCTGAGATTTGTACACTTTCTCTCTGCTTGAAAGATCAGTAAAATACACTACATCACACTAGTACATGCCAAGTACAATCATATAGGACAACCAACATGAAAATAGGGCTTGAAAGTGATGACGTCAAAACGGCCAGGGAGTAGTAAGTTGACATCAGATTGCTATTTTTGGATCCACTAAGGTGTGACTTTGCTATTGCCTAAGTATGTGGGTGCATAGCAACCCACTCATGTCGCATGCAGGTGTGACTTTTATTTCGCCACCAGCTGCACTGAACCCCGCCCCCAGTAGCCAAGTCAGTCAGTTTCACTGGCTACATCACCATGCTGTGGGTAAGACGGCTTGAAATGTGCTTGGATCCATACAAAAACTGGATCCAAGTGGATCCAGTTTTTGAATTTTTGAAATTGTTGCTATGCTGTGACGTAGCACTTTCAAGCCCTATTATTCCACCACGGCACAGCATGCACTCCCAATCATTATGATACACATCATCAACAGGCCATTTACATGCCGCGTATTTGAACGGGCCTGGGCTGTCACACTAAATTCGAGGATAAAGCCACAGTTCAACAATGCTGGTCTCCCCGCCCAAGGACAAAGAATCTTGATGAGCCGGTCACACCGTCCCGACACGTGCCAACATAACACACAGTCCATAGAATAACCATCCACACAATCATCATAGCTCAATGACCTGAAGGATATGTGCCTTCAATGATTGTGAATTACAAATATCTACACTACTACGTGTATCTGTCAACAGCATACTAGCTAAGAGCGGCAGCAGTGGAGGTGTGAGTGTGTGTGTGTGGGGGGGGGGGGGGCAGTGTGGATGATTGTACATGTATAGAGTAAAGAGCAGCAGTGGAGGTGTGTGTGTGTGAGGGGGGGGGGGGGGCTGTGTGGATGACTGTATACAGCATAAGAGCAGCTTCGCTTTCTTGTCATTGGGTAACTTTCCCGTTAGAATCTGCGAAGTAATTAATAAACAACAACAAGCAGTGGAGGTGTGGGGCAGGGGGGGGGGAATGTGCGGATGGGGGGGGGGGAGGGGGAGGTGTGGGGATGGGGGGGGGGGAAGGGGGGGAGGGGGAGGTGTGGGGATGGGGGGGGGGGGGAAGGGGATGATTGTATACATGTACGTAAATAGTTCGATGGTAAACCTATCATGTAGATATTCTTTAGCCTGGATTGTGAGACGAAGATCTACAAAGCGACTAGACTGGGGATCTGGCTATGCAGGAATATGAATGATGTCTCTATGGTTACACGTCAGTCAACTGACCGAGTGGATGACAAAGTATAAGTGTTATGTATAATGATGATGGCAGTCATGTGTATATGTGTACATTGATGCCAAGATAGCCAGAGACAATAGAGAGGTTAATTCTAGGATGCACGTTATTTCCAACGTGACGCACAATTTCACGTCAAATTTGGCGTTAAACTCCAAATTTCGACTTGAGCTGCAGGTCATTCGCGTTGTTTTTCGACGCACGAGCCAAATAACGCGAGCTGAACTTTCGCGTCGCGTCAAAAATAAAAATAATAATGTCCTCTCTAATTACGTGTGGCTAGGGGACAGATATGGGGAGGGGGTGGAGAGGGGGGGGGGGGGGGGGGAGAGGGAGGAGGGTTGTGGGGAAAGTACACTGTTTGTTCTATGTTCTATGTTGGAAACGAGTGGACAAGAATTTATAATGATGCGAGTAGGCAGCAGGATGTGGATTGAGGATAGCAGAATGGAGTTCAGGGTGGGTGGAAAAGCATGGTACAGTCAGAACTCGTTTAATCGCACACATCCGTTTTCCACAAAGATATCCGGATAGGCGAGGGAACCGGATAACCGAACACCGATTATGTTGGATGGCACAAGTATGCTGTAAATAAGTAACCAGCTATTTTCTTCCGGATGGCGAGGGATCCGGATAAAATATTTAGTGGGTAACGAGAGGGGGGGGGGGGGGTGAAGGGGGTTGGAGAGCAGAAATACCACCACAATGATGTGGTGACTAAATGTCCTGGAAAGCCTTAGGGTTATCTAACAGTAAACCTGTGCATGTACTAAGCCTACAGAATACACAGTCGAGGACTACTGGTACTGCTAGTGGTACACAATCTGTATTGGTACAATTTTAAACTATTTTGTTCTCTTACATAATCTGTCACTGCATACTAGTAGACTGTTTCAGGATAATGTGGAATTACTACCGACTATGTGTCTAGTTATTAGTGTTGAAACGAATAATCGAATAATTTAGAATATTCGTGGGGTGAACGAATAATCGAATAGTCGTAGGAATTATCAGAAATCGAAAAAAAAAAAAAAAAAAAAAAAAAAAACGATCTATGCTCGGTGCTGACCCTACTGATATTTGCACTGCGTAGATCTGCTCGTAGTATTTCTTCTCAATCTCTTCTCCTCCAAGTTTTAATCTCCTATCGGTATCTAGTAATACTTCTGTTCTTTCCATACGAGGGAAACATGGATGCAGTGAATGTGATTTTCGGTCTTTGACCACTTTCGACCAAGACCCTATGCAGAGCTGGATCAGGCGTTGCACACTCTGGGGGGTTATGTACTCCTGGCGGTATAGGTTAACCGGTTTTGCACCTCCACATAACAAAATCCGATATTAATCAGCAAAAAATATAAAAAAAACTACTTAAAAAGTGCTGAAAAGTGTTGAAAAATACCATCATGCGTATGATAGAATATAGATTATTCGTTCGATGGAGGGCAAAATTATTCGATAGATTATTCGTTCAAAGAATCCGTGTTCGGTTTAAAGGGGAAGTTAAGGCAAAAATTAAAATTTCACCAGTTGTAGTCTTCGGGGTGCTGAGTCGAATGGTCTTGATCCGAGAAAGCTGAGACGCTCCCTTCCTACTTGAATCCCAATCGAACTCGCGCACTTCCACCGAAACTGGGTGACTGCGCCCTACTAGATGGGGATTTGTATGCAAAATATCACTAAAAGCGCCGTTTCGTTCTTATAAAAGCACGGATGACCGCGATTGGCCCATATGTTGTAGTCTTTTGGACGCTGAGTCGACTGGTTTTGGTCCGAAAAGGCTGCGATGCAGCGTTCCTCCTTTATTCCCAATCGAACATGGTTGAACAAGCGGTCACGTGCTCCTGCGTACACCAGTCAGCTGGTCACCGTGCCTGCAGGGTACAACTTACTAGCCTGTTTGACCTTTTTTGGGTGCAGTCCTGTCGCTCGAGTTGAACTCGAGTTGAACCTTGGTGTGAAAGTTATCGCCTGCTGGCGTGGTGACCAGGTGATTTGGGCACCCAGGAGCACGTGACCACTTGTTCAACCATGTTCGATTGGGAATAAAGGAGGAACGCTACATCGCAGCCTTTTCGGACCAAAACCAGTCAACTCAGCGTCCAAAAGACTACAACATATGGGCCAAGCGCGGTCATCTGTGCTTTTATAAGAACGAAACGGCGCTTTTAGTGAGATTTTGCATACAAATCCCCATCTAGTAGGGCGCAGTCACCCAGTTTCGGTGGAAGTGCGCGATTTTCGATTGGGATTCAAGTAGGAAGGGAGCGTCTCAGCTTTCTCGGACCAAGACCATTCGACTCAGCACCCCGAAGACTACAACTGGTGAAATTTTAATTTTTGCCTTAACTTCCCCTTTAAACACTACTAGTTATGCATCATTAGATGACGGTACTGGCAAGATAGCTGCCGTACTACTGTCACTGTTTTAGGCCGAGATCCGTGTCCAAGGAAGATCTATAGGAACTGCTGCTGAAGAGACGCTGGCAGGCGTCCACGGGGGCCACTTCAGTATGGCTGGCCAGGATTGCTAGTTCCTGCAGTGAGGTATGGCTGTTGACGGCATGCAGGAATGCAGTGACGTCATCGTCGGTTAGGCTATCCTGCTGTAGTGGCTCACTGCGATCACCGACTACTAGCTTTGTCATGCAGGGCCAGGCAGTGTGCAGGTTTTCTGTCAGGACGTTGATGCAGTGTGCCCAGTGGGACTGATAAATGCGTAAATCAGACAGACGTGATGCACTATGCAGTGCTGTGCAGATCATGCGCAGACCCTCTTCGTCAATACCGTCACGGCAGTCCAGGGTGAAAACCTGGAGGCGGGGAACGTCGGCAAGTGCGTCGGCCAGGATGCTGGTGACCTGTTCTGACGTTCTTACCTCTCCACTGCTTGTAGCCTGTGCTGGCTGGGTGTTGATTGGGTGTGATGCTACACTGCTATTGGAAGCATCACTGAAATTACAGCAAACCACCAAGATTCTCTCCAGGTGTAGGTGTGATGACTTGATAACAGAGGTAATCTCCTGCAACTGCCAGTTACACTCAAAGACAATGAGATGGGTGATGTTTCTACACTTGAGTAACGATGCTGGCAGTGACACTGGGTGACGGGGCTGCAGGTACTGTATGTACACATTCCTCACACTGCTGTGGTGGACATTGATAGCTACATCATAGGCACGCATGAGTGCAGGATGGTAGGTACCCTTGATCCATACACGCATGCACTGGAACGCAGCAACAATACTGTACATGGGATGGGTGTCGTTGCCATGGTGATGAGAATACTCAGCGTAGCACAGCAAGGCGAGATGCAAGTTTCCGCGATGCTCCTTCTTTATATCGTTGTGGAAGGGACTGTTCTGTAGCAGTGGCTTATCCGGTTTGTTAGCAGTAAGAGACTGTGCGAGTACCTCTTTACCCATGCGTCGGAGAGCAGTAGCCAGTGTAGCAGGTGTTGCGTCCGGGCAGCGTTCCACCCAAGCCAGCAACATTGTACTCAGGAACTGCTCACCGCTAGACGATCGACCGTATTTGCTGCGATTCTCTACGTACTGTTCGCCGCTTCGTCCATCAATGCTGTCGGATAGCAACTCTTCCGATAGGCGATGTATTTCATACTGGTCTAATCCGGTGCTGAGGACCTCGAGCATATCCAGTGGGAACGTTTCCAATGCCGCCGTGTCGGTCAAACCTTCACTGTCACCATCCCAGTGTTGCCCTTCTCTCTCTTCTGACTTTACCCGCGTAAGTAGACCGTTGATCAAGCAGTCAGCCTTCTCCGCATCCAGCTGAGCCGTCAGCAGCATCCAGAACGTGCGTAAGTGGCTGGTTTTGGGTCCCAGTGACTCAACCAGGCGAACAACATGTGCCAATGTTGTTGTCTTGTGTACAGCCACGTAGCGAGCAGCCAGAGACTCTTGTAATGTCAGATGGCTGAACATCCATAACCGGTTCTTATCCCTGCTGCTGTTGTCGGCAAGTACAAGAAGGCCCAGTGACTTTGATTCCCTGGCAATCGATCGTGCCTCCAGGTCAGCATCAGTGAATATCAGCTGCTGTTTCTTCAGCATGCTGAAAGAGAACATTCCGAGATCCAGGATGAGGGACCGCACACGAGCGGGGATGGCATTCCAATTCTTGTACGACTCACCAGTGTGACGCTCCGCTACTTGGATAGTCATCATCTCAAAGATATCCGAGAGACAACGGGGCAGCGTGCGCTTGCGACAGTGGAAGATCTTGCACGTCTGCATGGCCAGGAATGGTGTAGCCATCATACTAGCAAGGTTCTGGTCACGCCGTACTGCCGTTACCAGTGCCGATGCTTCTTCCGCTGATCTCAGCACCCTTCCGATGTACTCCTCTACATCCTCCTGCCGGAAACCCACAAGTTCCACACGCCGATCAAACTGCTTTTGATCACACAGGCTCAGTACCTCAACGCACGGCCGTGACGTCACTACCAGACGAAGCCCCTTCACATTCGACCCGTTGATGACGTCACGAACAAAGCCACTACACTCACTAAGGCGGATCTCATCAAGGCCATCCAGTACTAAGCACACTCGCTGCGCATGCTGGCGTACAAAGCCATCGATGCTCTTGCGCTCGTCGCTCGTAAACTCTCCCAGCTCTTCCACACCAAGCAGAGAACATATATTCGTCGCTTCTCTCACCTCCTTGTTTCGCAGCTTTCGCGCTACTACCAGGTCAAACGACGTCCACAATTCATTCCGGGCCCATTTCAATGGAGCCACTTTAGTCAAGGTGAATGTTTTGCCGCAGCCAGCACTGGCTACAACCAAGATGCGATAGGTTCGACCACCGCTAGAGAACTCCAGCATCTGCTCTTTGTCAAGATCGAAGAGACTTTCCAGTGAGATATTCTCCAAGCTACTGGCCGCTTTGGTGAAAACATGCTCCACACGCCACACGTCGCCAATCGAATCAAAACTCGCCTTACGGAACTGATCTCGGAGCTCGGGTCTCGACAAAATGATCAGTTTCACTTGCACGTCTGAAACGCTGGGTTCGTTGAGCCCTTCTTCAACCATGCCTTCTCCCATATCTACCGTAGCGCTTACATATTTCTCAACTAGCAAATCTCTCAACCTGCACACTGCCTCGGGTATGTTTCTTACCTGATCTGCTCGACCAGTGGCAAGACTTGCTTGTGTGCTGGCAGACCCGTTTGCTGCAGGTTCACCGCTATCCTGACTCGAGCACTTTGCTTCATAGTCATTACGACTGCTGTTCTCCACTTTGCTCGCCATGACGCTGAATGGCTCACACACCAACACCTACCAGCATAAAATTACCTTGTTGCTATTCGTCCTATTCAATGCTAGTGTGTGCTGCAGCTGGTTTTCAGCCGCGAAGAAACACTGGTAGTGGTAGATTCCAAACTCAGCTATTTAAATGTTATTTTCAATATCTCGCAACAACAGTCAAACTCAAAGGCATTGGACTTTGTCTGTCCCGTAACACTCAAACTCAAACTCAAAGCTGGCTTTTCTTTCTACACTGTCTGAAGCAGTTTTGCGTTTTGTACTTGCACACTGACTGTGGTCGCCTTGACTGCCTTGACTCGAGTAGATCTACTACTAGTACTACTGTACTAGTCTCGATGTGACCATGGTGACCGGGCCAGACTAAGACTGTACTTTGCTGTGGTGGAGCGCTAGCGCAGAAGGCATGCCGATAATCATGGATATGGATGGATCCTCGACCTCATCTCATGAACAGAAAAATAGTTCATTATTGTGTAAATATTTGCACTCAATCTGCGGACAGAACTGTTTCGTCCTTTGTGGGTACAGTACATTGTATTGATGACGATGGAGACGCTCAGATGTTGTCAGCATGAACTGAATGATTGGAACTGCAATACAACCGCTGCTACATGTATGCGCGAACTGCTGGGAGCTCTGCGTACTGATGGGTTACGCAAGTGCCACGCTAATCACTTGTCACTGATGCTGGCGTATCCCACAATGGAGTTGAGAGATGTGCGTAGCAGATCAGCGGATAGTATCAAGGTTAAATTTTATAAGGCAATTTAGTTTTAATTGTTGGAATTGAATAAGATAAAGTTTACGTGGGAGATGATTTTTTTCTCTTTTTCTTAACGTGGTTGTAAATTCTAAGTGACGTACTGATGTGTCTGGCGTAGCATGCAGGGGACAACCACAGTCTGTTGAATCCGAGTGACTGTATGTGTGTGTGTGTGTGTGTGTGTGTGTATGTGTGTGTGTGTGTGTGTGTGTGTGTGTGTGTGGTGTGTGTGTGTGTGTGTGTGTGTGTGGTGTGTGTGTGTGGGGGGGGGGGGGGGGGGTACGTGAAGGGTCGGTGCCACTGGTGCGGCCGGTACGGCCATGGTGTTACCAATTTCTCAAAACGCCGGTCCACTTGGAACGTTCAAAACCGGGGAGGAAAAGTTTCGATGTATGATTTTGTACACTGGGGAGTCGTAAAATACTGACTACTAGTACCCTGTCATCAGCAACACTCTACGTACAGTGAACTATCATAGATGCACAGTCTGAAACTAGTGTATTCTGCATTGGAATATCAGACTTGCAAGTTGTAGATCTACCCAGGGGCTAGAAGATACACCGAAATGTGCCCAGAGAGCACGATTTGCCTTCTAAATTCCTAGAATTTTCTGGGGGAGGACCCCACACCCCCTTAAGGAAGGCACTTGGTCGCACCGCTCCATGGGAGCTGCCTCCGGCCCTGGTGTTTGTGTGTGTGTGTATGTGTGTGTGTGCGTGTGTAACTGTAATTTCACTTCAAGGTACCTGTGCATCTAGTGTCTGTTTCTAAAGCAGCGTACTGTCTATACTGCTTACCCCAGCAAGTGTAGGGTGTGCATAGGTAACTGTCTTGGGCGGTTTATGCAGATGTACTCCGTGTGGTGTAGACCAGGTGTGCATTGGTGGTCGATTCACATGGCTTCGTCAGTTGTGTGGATTAGACAGTTATCTGGCGTTTGTCTTGATCTGTTTCATTCAGAATCAGATCCGCCATCATTGCTATAAAGAGAAAATCTGTGGGCGCATATCCAGTGCATTTGTCGATTTGCGTGCTTCTCTTGCGACGGGCGTATACATGGTACATGGTGTGTATGTGCGCACGTGTGTGTGCGTGCGCGTACGTGTGCGTGTTTGGGCGTGTGTGGGCGTTGTGTGCGCATATCTTCGTGATTTCATCTGGGATGCAAAGTTCGCAAAAAACAAAAAAGACACGCTCGAAAAGATATGTTTTGTACGACCCAGGGCGTGTACTGTAAATTTTCGCGGCGTTTTTAGTTCGCGTTTTCAGAATCCGGACAGGTTTGCGAGGTTTTAATTTTGCGATTGCAGAACTTGCTACTGTGGCATTCATGCTAAAACCTTTTATGGATCTCCTTTTCGCGCTGTCTAAATTTCGCGATTTCCACGCGGTCGCGAATTTCGCAGAAATTAGACCATCGCAATAATTTCACGGTTTACAGTAGCCGATAGATTTGTAGCAGGGAGTCGTCAAATACCATGGTATTTGACGACTCCCTGGTTTGTAGGTTTGCTTGTGAATCATGACGACATGAGGTCCCCAGTTCAAAACCTGCACTGGTAACAGGCAGTGCGTTTACAGTCCATTGATTGGAAACTGGCACCCTAACTTTGTTGTGTGTCCCGCACATAGTTGTAGATATCGTGAAAACAACAGTACATCCTGCGTTGTGTGACCCGTGCAATTACTCCTTGCCACATTTGAGGCCAGAAAAGTCCAAGAACAGGGAAATAGAAATTCAGCCAGGTTTTACCAAATTGGGATAGGTTTGCCATGGCAACATGTATGGAGAAGCAGATCTCAAACGCAGATTTTGGAGATTTAAAGTGGTTTTTTTTATCCTCAGTTCGGCCCAAATCGGACTTTCAAAAGCTAGCGGGACTGTTTTCGATGAATGGACTGTAGTGCTGTCTCGATCACGATGATGTGGACGAGTACCACTTCACGCGCAGTGAACTGACCCCGTGATGTAGCTACAGTCAACTTTGCTAATACATGTAATGACAGGCGCGTGCCCGGAACCCCCCCCCCCCCATTTTTCGCTCAAAATGCAGGATTTGCTTCATTTTTTGAAAATTTTCACGGTGGTGGCCCCCGAAACCCCCCTTGAAGGGCACGGGCGCACGCGCCTGAATTGACTGCGGATATAACGACAATTCGCGAATAACGACAGGATTTCCATGCCCAGAGCAAAGTCCATTCTACCTGTATACATGTACATATAATGAGACTTCGGGTACAAGGACACTTCGCGAATAAGGACATTTTTCTGATGCCCGGCCGAGTGTCGTTATGCACAAAGTTGACTGCACTCACGTGTTCGGGTTGAGTGTAACAAGGATGCAGTTTGTAGGGTTAACAGGCGCTAGGCTGTTACACACTCGCTTGCTTGAGAGACTTATCCCCTCTCCCTTGACTAGTTTGTGAGCTCTTAGAGACTGTGGCACTAATACTGTTGCTGTTTCTGTATTGCTGTACAGAGGCAGCAGTGTACCTTGCCATGAACAACGCAGAATATACAAGTGCAGTTGAGGCTGATGCGTCAGTTGACAAGATTGCAGAGGCTACGGATGGAAAGACAAGCTCACCATGGAAATTGGCAGCAGCAATGTGTTTGAAGTGGGTTGCCGTATCCTCTCATCCCACTTTCCTATGTTTTTTGTTGGGTATATTTTACATTAAGTAACCCAAATCATTCGGATACTGAGCCATTATGTAAAAAAAGAGAAGAAACATATGTGTTAGAGCTAGGTCTTGGGTCGCTGAATGTCTTAGTAGCCTGTCAGTTTTGTGCCCTATTATCGCACTTTCTGACTGTTTATCATCTTGTTACAGTCGTGGATAGTTGCTGCATGACTCGTTTTCATGTGTTTCTTCTCTTTTAACACAAATCAGTGTTAACTCCACAGTACAATATCTTAGGCATAACATACTGTGGAGTGCAAAGTACTAGGAACCGCCCGAATCACTAAATTTGTTCTACGTCTCAAAACCAGCTGGCTTTCGCCGATGCCTGTCCTTGGAGCAATGAGGCCACAGACATGAATACATTCGTTGGTAACGTTCCATGCTCCTCGTGAAATAGCAGACGTTATTACGTCGTCACGAACGTTGCACCGTCTAAGGTGCTCCTTGAGGACACTGGTGATGCTATCCGAGTAAATTGACAATCCCTTGGATATGCAGACGCACACAATGTTTGTACAACTATGCTAGGCGAAATCCTGACTTGCATGGCCCGTGACGCCCTGGAAGTGGTGCATGGCCTGTGACGCCCTGGAAGTGGTGCATGGCCTGTGACGCCCTGGAAGTGGTGTGAATGCCGCTAGGCATGCACATGACTGTACAAATACACAGTGATGTCATCGGAACAGGTCCAGAGAGTAAACCAGGGAGTCGTAAAATACCGGTATTTTACGACTCCCTGGAGTAAACTTTATACTTTACTTTGGTCTGAAGTCACCCAGTGCAAATTTACAATGGGTTTGAATGTTTAGGAGCCGCATCTGACGCCTGATCATGGGGTGGTGGCATCCACGGAAGCGGAAAGGTGGTTCTTGACCAGGGAGTTGTACGACTCCTTGTTCTTGACCTGCCCAGTACGCGAAGCCATCGATTTTTTTACTTGAATGCATGGTAGAGTGTGTTTGAATGCATAGTAGAGTGTGTTTGAATGCATGGTAGAGTGTGTGTCTGAGAACATGGAAGGGGAAGTTAAGGCAAAAATTAAAATTTCACCAGTTGTAGTCTTCGGGGTGCTGAGTCGAATGGTCTTGGTCCGAGGAAGCTGAGACGCTCCCTTCCTACTTGAATCCCAATCGAACTCGCGCACTTCCACCGAAACTGGGTGACTGCGCCCTACTAGATGGGGATTTGTATGCAAAATGTCACTAAAAGCACCGTTTCGTTCTTATAAAAGCACGGATGACCGCGATTGGCTCATATGTTGTAGTCTTTTGGACGCTGAGTCGACTGGTTTTGGTCCGAAAAAGCTGCGATGCAGCGTTCCTCCTTTATTCCCAATCGAACATGGTTGAACAAGCGGTCACATGATCCTGGGTGCCCAAATCACCTGGTCACCATGGTCACCACGCCAGCACTGGCCCAGCAGGCGACAACTTTCACACCAAGGTTCAACTCGAGTGACAGGACTGCACCCAAAAAAGGTCAAACAGGCTAGTAAGTTGTACCCTGCAGGCGCGGTGACCAGGTGACTGGTGTACGCAGGAGCACGTGACCGCTTGTTCAACCATGTTCGATTGGGAATAAAGGAGGAACGCTGCATCGCAGCCTTTTCGGACCAAAACCAATCGACTCAGCGTCCAAAAGACTACAACATATGGGCCAATCGCGGTCATCCATGCTTTTATAAGAATGAAATGGCGCTTTTAGTGACATTTTGCATACAAATCCCCATCTAGTAGGGCGCAGTCACCCAGTTTCGGTGGAAGTGCGCGAGTTCGATTGGGATTCAAGTAGGAAGGGAGCGTCTCAGCTTCCTCGGACCACGACCATTCGACTCAGCACCCCGAAGACTACAACTGGTGAAATTTTAATTTTTGCCTTAACTTCCCCTTTAACGACAAAATTGACAAGATCTAGTGTTGGGGTGGGTGTGATGAAAATTATGCCGAGATCCGTAGAATATTTCTGCGTAACTGGAGGAGCTGTGGTGATGGATTTCACTTTCATCTCCGTATGTGCTCGATTCAATTACCTTAACTTGTTGCTGTTGGTCAGGTTGTGAATCATTACACATTGGAGATAACAACACGCTAGAGTCGAAATGTGAGTAGATTACCAAGGCACATTTGCTCATGCCTGCGTGTGAGTGTGTGTGTACGTATACGTACGCATGCGCGGGCATCCACGTCTGTGTCCTTGCTTGCGCGCGCATGTGTGTGTGTGTGTGTGTAGCTGCTGGAGATGGCTCTCTCGAACATGGTTCCTGAGTCCCTGACCTCTCTCTCAGCTGACTGCCGTCGCTCGTCTTTCCATGTTGTCGGCCCCACAAGGGGACACGTGACCGCAATAGCAGTGTTTACCAGGACCAGGACCGTGTGTATGTGTGTGTGTGTGTGTGTGTGTGTGTGTGTGTGTGTGTGTGTGTGTGCCCATGGGTCTGTTGCCAACAGGCTCGGCTGCTTGAAGGTGTAATGTTGTACCTGCCACCTTTGTTGGTTCCAGGGTTCATATATTTTCTATTTGAAGTATACATACCTGTCAACCATGGACTGCTTCTGGCTAGATTAACTCTTGTGTAATCAATGGTGCTAGTGAAGCTTTTATCAGATCCACTCTGATTTAGCCACTCACACTAGTAGCAAGTATTACCTTCACTGGGGGCAGGGGTAACTGCAGTTGGATCCCGGGACGGATACCCTGATGCCGTCAATCCTTTTTCTGCACCTTGTCCTCACCCACTTACTGAGGTGTGGTGAGCCCATAAGTGGGGTCATTTTCAAGTCCACCCAGAGTTTTGGGGATTTCAGGGGGTGTCGGTCGTTGGGCGGTTCAATAACCAATTGAGTCATCTTTCCAAGATTCCTTTTGAGTCTCTCTCCCCTCTCCCGGGGGGACTCACGTGACCAGTTTTGGTAGTGAGCAACAAGTACAAGTACAGTACAGTGTGCCCATCCGTGTGTACCAGCTAGTTTGGCTGGTGTCTGCACTACACCATATAGTGGCTCAGTTTCTGGGTGTGTTGCCATCATACCCGACTGTTTAGTTAGAATGTGCATTGGTCAAGATCGGTGTGCTGTGGTGTGTCTGTCTGTCTGTGGGTCTGTCTGTGTGTGTGTGTGTGTGTGTGTGTGTGTGTGTGTGTGTGTGTGTGTGTGTGTGTGTGTGTGTGTGTGTGTGTGTGTGTGTGTGTGTGTGTGTGTGTGTGTGTGTGTGTGTGTGTGTGTGTGTGTGTGTGTGTGTGTGTGTGTGTGTGTGTGTGTGTGTGTGTGTGTGTGTGTGTGTGTGTGTGTGTGTGTGTGTGTGTGTGTGTGTATGTCATTTGTTTACTAGGTCATATTGGTGTGAAGTCAGCCATGACTAGTGGTTGTGTTCTGGGAGCATGTTGTCATCTGACCAGTCAAGAAACACTGCCTGAGAATACGGTAGTGTTTGGCGAGGGCAATGTGCGTCGAGTGCAAGGTGATAAGCCCACGGTAAGTTGTGTGTGGGTGTGGGTGGATGTGTGTCGCACATACCCCTTCGTGTCCTCTTGAGCCAGTTCTTATTTGTACTTGCATGCAGGAGATTGAGGTAAAGAAAAACACATTATTGTTTGCTACCTCCTCTCTAGCAGTAATAAATTACTGTTGGTTGTGCCTTTCTTACTCTAGCTGTGCTTAGCTCTACGGTCACATGATCTGGACAGGACATTGAATGCCTTGAAAGTGCTTGAAATTTGTATCTGGTCATGGACTCGGGAACTCGTGGCCTGGCACGAGGAAAACATGGATGCAGTGAATGGGGTTTTCGGTCTTTGACCACATGCTGGTGAGCTGATCTACTCACCTCCCACCGCTTTAGGAGCTGCGTCTGCGCCTTGAAGGGTAGTGGCGTTCCTACGGATGCGGAAAACTCGGCCTCTATAATAGATAAACCGAGTCTCACGCGAACCGTGACATTTTTTTAAATGTACGATTGGTCTCGACTTTGAGTTTTCCGCGGTGTATGCTCTGCTCTCCGTTATCCCCAAAGGACGTAGCTATTCGGTGTGCAGAATATATCCTTTTTTCACAATTTTAACACTCTAGCACCACTTATCTTCAGGTTGATGCTCTCTCTCTCTCTCTCTCTCTCTCTCTCTCTCTCTCCCTCTCCCTCTCCCTCTCTCTCTCTCTCTCTCTCTCTCTCTCTCTCTCTCTCTCTCTCTCCCACCGTGTCCAACTCACAGGCACCGACATTACAGCTGGACTTCCTAACGAAGATATTGCCAAACTACCATTACCTGCAGACTTCGCAGTCGGCAGCCCCAGCAGCACCAGCAACATCTTGACCAAAGTTATCCTTGTCGTATCCACCCTATGTAGTCGTCTGATTTTGCTGCAAACCAACATTTGGCTCAACTTCTGCGAAAACCAGGCTTAGGGTGAAAATCATTTTTTTGAGAAAAATGATGTTTTGTAAAAAGGTTGTGTCGCGTGGACGCTCGAGTGCAGTGAAGTGGAACCAAAGAGAATCTCGCTTGTTTGAAGAAGTAGCAGTCATGGCAGGAAGGGTTTCAGCAGTCAGGGAAGTCAAAGGGCTTCCGGTAGAATATTCCCTGCTACTCCTCTAGTCACAACGAAGAGTTTTTGAGCTGATCGAACGGATTCCATCTCCTTCACTCAGGGATGGCGAAATTTCTGCGCTAGCTGCTGCTTGCGGAAATGGTGAAGAAATCGTCTCCAGTTAGAGTCGTGATGGCGATAGCGAGGAGAACCTGGACGGCATCGACCCAGCCACTCGAAGTATGGAGATACTAGCTGTTTCTGGGCATCACGCAAAGGGAACACGCGCAGCAGAGCTCATACGTTTGCATCAAGTTCACGAGGAAAAAGGCTAGAAGCGCAGTGTGAAAACTGTTTTGAATTGAAGTCCTTGGCGATGAAGTGCTACTGAATGCCAGGCGAATGAGCGAGCAGATCGAGAGGCCTCCTCTCGAGACTTTCCTCGCTGGACAGTTAGCTGCAAGGGATTGTACGGCGTGCCGAGATTTCACTTGCTGGTCAGCACCAAGCAGACGCTGCAGCACGCCAGCACACTATCACTATGCGCATACTACGAACAGTGGAACAGTTTGAAAGGCTGTGTTCTTGCTTGTTTTTGAATAGTTGTACTAGATTCACCCTTCAAAAGGTGCCATCTCAACTGGAGTCGGGTTTCCTTGTGGTGTGTAGCGCCAGAGCATGCCAGCACATGTATGCAGCCCCAGAATGTGCTGAGTGAGGAGCAAACAAAATTCATGCAGAACTGTGCATGGCCACTACAGCCTGCAGCACCAAGGCCAGGGGCCACAACAAGCCTGCCCCCACATGTCTACCTTGTCATGTCACCTAAACAAAAATCATCCATGTCTCTTCCTTCACTCTGGTGGATCTCTCTTCATTTCTTTCCTGTGATAACAATTTTGTGTTTTTTTTGGATTTTTTAACACAATACCCTGGTGTGTTTGAGATACTTTTAATACCACTATGAGTCGACCCACACCTGTAATATTTTGTTTCCTGACCTCCCATGCCCAGTAGAAGCTGAAAATGGGAAAAAGTCATTTTGTGAAATTTCACCCTAAGCCTGGTTTTCGCAGATTCTGGGCCATTTGTTGATTGCGATTCCCCCACGATACCACTGACTAGATCAGCGTACTGGTTGCCTTATCGAAACCTATCAATTTCCTCTGCATGTTCTGCTGTGGGACATGTTATCGTGTCTCATTCTTTCACATGCTGATCATACAGCACAGATATTGTTTTAAAGGGGAAGTATACCCTAAAATCAAATTTTCACCAGTTGTAGTCTTCTGGGTGCTGAGTCGAATGGTCTTGGTCCGAGGAAGCTGCGACGCTCCCTTCCTACTTGAATCCCAATCGAACTCGCGCACTTCCACCGAAACTGGGTGACTGCGCCCTACTAGATGGGGATTTGTATGCAAAATGTCACTAAAAGCGCCATTTCGTTCTTATAAAAGCACGGATGACCGCGATTGGCCCATATGTTGTAGTCTTTTGGACGCTGAGTCGACTGGTTTTGGTCCGAAAAGGCTGCGATGCAGCGTTCCTCCTTTATTCCCAATCGAACATGGTTGAACAAGCGGTCACGTGCTCCTGGGTGCCCAAATCACCTGGTCACCGCGCCAGCAGGCGACAACTTTCACACCAAGGTTCAACTCGAGTTCAACTCGAGTGACAGGACTGCACCCAAAAAAGGTCAAACAGGCTAGTAAGTTGTACCCTGCAGGCACGGTGACCAGCTGACTGGTGTACGCAGGAGCACGTGACCGCTTGTTCAACCATGTTCGATTGGGAATAAAGGAGGAACGCTGCATCGCAGCCTTTTCGGACCAAAACCAGTCGACTCAGCGTCCGAAAGACTACAACATATGGGCCAATCGCGGTCATCCGTGCTTTTATAAGAACGAAATGGCGCTTTTAGTGACATTTTGCATACAAATCCCCATCTAGTAGGGCGCAGTCACCCAGTTTCGGTGGAAGTGCGCGAGTTCGATTGGGATTCAAGTAGGAAGGGAGCGTCTCAGCTTCCTCGGACCAAGACCATTCGACTCAGCACCCCGAAGACTACAACTGGTGAAATTTTGATTTTAGGGTATACTTCCCCTTTAATAGTCACTCCGCAGAGTATTGCTGGTGTGCGTGTTCACGCCAGGTCGGTGAATTGTGGATTATGCATTAGAGACTGCTATAGGTACCGGTAGCCGTCCACGATATCCCTTCTGAGGCACATCGCGCAAGTGTTCTGCTAACCCCGGACGCCAGAACTTTCTCAGCTATTGCTCGGAAGTGCCCGTTCAAGGCTATAAAGCCTATAATCTCTGTTGCTAGCAAATGCCTGTACAAGGCTAGAATCTCTGTTGCTAGGAAATGCCTGTACAAGCCAATAATGCCGTCGTGCTGAACTGTTCACCTCAACGCTCCACGAGCGTATAGCTCAAGTTTTCCTGCTGCTATGCCATCACCTCCACAGTAGGTAGGTATAATCAGACTTTCACCGGTCAATCATGTATTTGGGGGCTTTTTCAGCCTGTGTGTGTGTGGGGGGGGGGGGGGGGGAGGGTGCCGCTGCTTGTCTGCTGGTTTACCTAGACAATCCGGTCAACGATATTTCCGATGCCAATACACTACCGTATTTTCCGGAGTATAGTGCGCACTTTAGATGTGCTATTTTAGGCCCTAAATTGCAGGTGCGCACTATGCTCCGAATATGAAATGCATGTACTTCAATGCAGATTGAAGTGCGCACCCCCAATGAAGATTGGGGGTGCGCGTTATACAAAGGTGCGCACTATACTCCGACAAATACGGTATTAGAGACTGTGCTGTTTTTATTTCAAACCACCCTCACCCCTGGTCATTATTGGAGACCTGGGCTTTTGTTAGGGAAAATACGGCCAAATGCTGTCGCATATCCCATCACTGCTCCGAATTCCAGTAAAATTGTATCCGTGAATGAAACTCGTTTGCACCATGGCGTGGGTCTCTCTGATTCTGTATTGTAATGGCACTTCAGTATGATCATTGTAAACATACTTTAGCAAGGTGTTGATGGGAAAGGAAAGTCCAGCGCAATCACACACAGTTCATTGTTACCCGCTACAGCCAGACCTCGCATAACTGCACACCTACATGTACGTTTTGCACAAAGATATCCGCATAGGCGAGGGAACCGGATAATCAAACACACATACTGAATGTATGCATGGCATATGCTGTAAATCGGTAACCGACGATTTTCTTCCGGATGGCGAGGGATCCGGATAAAAGAGGGACGGATAAGCGAGGTCTGACCGTATGAGGAAATGTAGGCCAGAGAAGTGGATTGTGTAACGCGGTGATTTTACAATCACCATGACAACCTTTCCAGTACCTTCCACTAATTTGACATGCAGACTAGTATGAACCTGAGAAGCAACACATCCTCACTTGACTGGACAGATGGTTCACATTGCAGTATAGTGGGGATTTTCACTGCATACTCTATGGACTTACACTGGTATTACATGTCTGTAGTGCTGTACTTTGACAACAATTTTCTATGGAATCTCAGAAACAGGTCACTATTCCAGGGCATCCTAGCTATGCCACCACCCTCACTGGATAGAATGTAACTATTCAGTAAACTACACGTACACACACGTACACACAAGCATCCTTTCCCCCATTCGGTAAACTACGGCACACACCCATACACACAGAGACACATGCCCCCCCCCCCCACACACACACACAAAAGCATGCAACCCCCCCCCCCCCCCTACACAAACACACACATGCAATGAAGTGTGTAATAGTGATGATAACGGGCAACATGCCATGGTCCAAATCACCTGCCTGAGATTTGTACACGTTCTCTTCGCTTGAAAGATCATTGAACTGATAAACTACATCACACTAGCAATATGCTAAATACATACATGAATTGAGACAACCAACATGAAATTATTCCACCACGGCACAGCATGCACTCCCAATCGTTATGATACAGAACATCAACACCGGGTCATTTACGTGCCGCGTATTTGAACGGGCCTGGGCTGTCACAATAAATTCGAGGATAAAGCCACAGTTCAACAATGCTGGTCTCCCCGCCCAAGGACAAAGAATCTTGATGGGCCGGTCACACCGTCCAGACACACGCCAACATAACACACAGTGCATAGAATACCCATACACACAATCAGATTCAATGCACCGTCTGAATAGCAGCAGTTGCTAGTCTCCTAGCTCAATGACCTGAAGGATATGTGCATTGTGAATTACAAATATCTACACTACTACGTGTATCTGTCAACAGCATACTAGCTAAGAGCGGCAGCATAGAGGAGGGGGGGGGGGGCAAGGTGGATGACTGAGTACAGTACTAACTATAAGAGCAGCAGTGGAGGTGTGGGGGGGGGGGGGATGACTGTATAGTGTATAGAGTAAAGAGCAGCAATGGAGGTGTGTGTGTGTGGGGGGGGGGGGGGGGGCAGTGTGGATGATTGTATAGTGTATACAGTATAAGAGGAGCAGTGGAGGTGTGTGTGTGTGGGGGGGGGGGGGGGCTGTATACAATGTCATGTACGTAAATAGTTGGATGGTAAACCTATCATGTAAATAGTTGGATGGTAAACCTATCATGTAGATATTCTTTAGCCTGGATTGTGAGACGAAGATCTACAAAGCGACTAGACTGGGGATCTGGCTATGCAGGAATATGAATGATGTCTCTATGGTTACACGTCAGTCAACTGACCGAGTGGATGACAAAGTATAAGTGTCATGTATAATGATGATGGCAGTCACGTGTACATGTGTACATTGATACCAAAGTACACTGTTTGTTCTATGTTCTATGTTGGAAACGAGTGGACAAGAATTTATAATGATGCGAGTAGGCAGCAGGATGTGGATTGAGGATAGCAGAATGGAGTTCAGGGTGGGTGGAAAAGCATGGTACAGTCAGAACTCGTTTAATCGCACACATCCGTTTTCCACAAAGATATCCGGATAGGCGAGGGAACCGGATAACCGAACACCGATTATGTTGGATGCCACAAGTATGCTGTAAATAAGTAACCAGCTATTTTCTTCCGGATGGCGAGGGATCCGGATAAAATACTTAGTGGGTAACGAGAGGGGGGGGGGGGGTGAAGGGGGTTGGAGAGCAGAAATACCACCACAATGACGTGGTGACTAAATGTCCTGGAAAGCCTTAGGGTTATCTAACAGTAAACCTGTGTATGTACTGTAAGCCTAGAGAATACACAGTCGAGGACTACTGGTACTGCTAGTGGTACACAATCTGTATTGGTACAGTTTTAAATTGTTTTCTTCTCTTACATAATCTGTCACTGCATACTAGTAGACTGTTTTAGGATAATGTGGAATTACTACCGACTATGTGTCTAGTTATGCATCATTAGATGACGGTACTGGCAAGATAGCTGCCGTACTACTGTCACTGTTTTAGGCTGAGATCCGTGTCCAAGGAAGATCTATAGGAACTGCTGTTGAAGAGACGGCGGCAGGCGTCCACGGGGGCCACTTCAGTATGGATGGCCGTGATTGCTAGTTCTTGCAGTGAGGTATGGCTGTTGATGGCATGCAGGAATGCAGTGACGTCATCGTCGGTTAGGCTATCCTGCTGTAGTGGCTCACGGTGATCACCGATTTCCAGCATCGTCAAGCATGGCCAGGCAGTGTGCAGGTTTTCTGTCAGGACATTGATGCAGTGTACCCAATTGGACTGACGAATGTGTAATTCAGACAGATGTGATGCACTATGCAGTGCTGTGCAGATCATGCGCAGACCCTCTTCGTCCATACCCTTATACCTCCCCAGGTTGAAATCCTGGAGGCGGGGATCGTCGGCAAGTGCGTTGGCCAGGAGTAGTGCGGGGATGCTGGTGACCTGTTCTGACAATGTTACCTCTCCACTGCTTGTAGCCTGTGCTGGCTTGGTGTTGACTGGGTGTGATGCTACACTGCTATTGGAAGCATCACTGAAATCACAGTAATCCATGATGATATTCTCCAGTTGTAGGTGTGATGACTTGATAACGGAGATAAT